CGTGATTCCAATATGCTGGCAAGTTCAGGAACGCGCACTTAAAAAAAAAAATCACTTATACACAACAGGTGAAAATAAGTGATCCCTAACACAAACGCATAACCCATTTGTCAGAGCTACTCGCTGTTCATATACGGAGAAAAAAAACCCACCTCGTTAAAATGTCAAAATCCTACTTGGTTATTTTCTTTTGCTCCTGAGGCATCTGTGGTAAATATGTCAGTACCAGAAAAGTTGCTCTGTACTAATTCTGAATTATAAAAACCCAGCAAGTCTGACATTTAAGTCCTCAAAAGCGTGTAAGTAGGTGGTGTGTGTGTGTAACACACATACTTTTAAATGAGGACCTATTGGAAGAGTAAGGACATCATTGTTCTTCTTAGGTTTGTCTCTTGCACGGTCTCAGTTTCACTCAAGTATTTTGAAAATAACCAGAAGAAAGCATGCCAGGCTCTGTGCTGCGCTCTTGCCACTCAAAGGCTATGCAAAAAGGAAAGGCAAGTCTGAGCTCCCTTACTAGCTGGGGCATCTCAGGGATTTAGGTAATCTCATGCCCCTAAATCGGATGCAGTGGGGTGGGGGTGGGGGCTTTTGTGTCATCAGCTTGCTTCTCTAGAGAACCAGCCACCTCGGAAAGGTGAGAAATACGGTGGGCAAACCCAGTGACAAGACACTCCCCAGATAGGCAGAGAAGCCAAGAAAGCGCCTGGGTGATGGCTCCAGGAGGGGCGCGACGTGCCACTGACCCTGAGCAGCCAGGGCCGTAACCTCTCCCAGAGAAAACGCCGAGGGGAGGCCGCTGGCTGTCAGCAGTGCTGTTTAACCCTCCTGAATTCCAAGACAGCTCCCCCTCCTCAGGCTCACCGATCTGCAGGCTGTGCGGCGTGACTCCCCACTCAGGAACCCGGGCAGCCGCTCGGCGCTGCTCGCCGCGCCACCAGCCCCGCAGCTCGCTGACGAGCTCAGTGCAGGCGCATGATTTAATTGTGGATGGAGGGAAATAATAGGCATCTCGAGCAGGTTTTAATATGATCTTAAAATAGGGGGGAAAGTTTTCTGTTATGACATTGACATAGAGGCGATGATTTTGAGTAATGCAGGATGATGTGGAGATGCTTTAAGATTAAATAAGAGCTATATAAAGGCTTGTCAGAATGAATTCTAATGTGCCTGAGACACTTTGCATACTCTTAAATATGCAAAATGTCTCTTGGCTCCCTAGAATTCATTCTGACAAGCCTTTATATAGCTCTTATTTAAACTCCTACTTTATTTTTAGGGAGCAGGTACTCCCAGATACTCTGTGAATGGAAGCAACAAAGGGCAGTGTTTATTGATTTGGTTCTTTACCGGAAGGGGGAAGGAAAAAAAATACACCATACAAAAGAACAATCAAAAGTGGAAGCATGTTTAATATTGCTCTACCATCATCCTGAAAGGCATAATAATTTGAGTTACACATCTGAACTGATTGGAGTTACAGAATCATATCTCCTTTTGCATTTAACAATATATACAATATAAAATAAATACATTTACACAAATGGACATTTGCTGGAGCACACAGTATGGTACACATCACAAAAATATACAATTGATTGCTTTACAGATGTGAAGCCCATCTACAGCTATAGACAAGGTTTTATTATTATTATTATTCTTTTTACTACTGGCTATAATGCAACTCCTGGATTATTATAAGCAGTTTAAATTTTTTGTCCTTTTACGATCTTTGCACATAAGACTGCCATAAAATGTTTTCCTAGGCAGGTAAACAGAGACGCTTAAATAATTAAAATACAATCACCAACACTCATTTTCTCTTCTATAAGAAAAATAGCAGTTTTAAATTTTTTATATCTTTTATGTTATCATTTAAATGCAAAATAGTGGAATAAATACAACAATCTGATCTGATTGAAACACAAGTGTAACTACAGGTAGTCACACAATCATATTGCTTTAAATAAGAACAAACCTAAAAGAAGCAAAAGAAAAATGAAAATCGTACAGCTAAAACATACGCCTTTAGAACTGTCCGAAACTTCACATTAAGTAAATGGTCTTGCTTGAAACGTGAAAAAACTTACCTCAAGCGAGGTTTAAGATGAGCAATTTATCCTAAAGCCCGTGCAGTTCTTTTAGATCTACGTTTGAGTTGCGTTTCCTATTTGTGAGATACGTGTTCTTTTGTAATGCCGCGAGTCAATTAGACTGAAAACTAAAAATTGTACTTCCTTCTGTTCACATCTTTCCATCTCTCCATCTTGTGTTTTCAGTTGGTTGGTTCTTACTTCTGAAGCCCAAGTACTTTAATGTGACACAGTGAAAACAACGTATATAGTGTATATATTTTATTTATACATATAGTGTGGTTGAATAGTAGCAACTTAAACCCTGCACAAACTTTCTGGAAAATAACCTGTTTAAACACTTACATATATAAATAATCTTATAGAATCAGCACCTTTTTATTTTTATCCCAGGAGTTGTATTTTCTGTTGTTATTTTTAAAGGGACGTGCCAATTTCTGAACTCCTATCACAGCTATAAATTTCAAGTTATTGACCATCTGAATGAATTGCTAATGATGATTTATCTAGAATCACACTACAGTCACTTCTCTACTGAGAAACCACAATCTACGATATAGTCCCATATAGCTAATGATAGATACACAGTATTCCTAGCACTGGGCTGATGAAACATCGACCCAAGGTATTTTGTTTAAAGCACACAAAGTAGCAATAGTTTTGGAAACGTGTCCGCACCAAAAAAGTTTTGCAACAACACAGAGCGAGTTAATAACAACAGCTGAGAGATGATCGAGTGAAAGCCATATATACAGCATTTAAAAATTAGACTTATCTATATTCTTGAAATATTCAAAGTTTTATTTCTAAGCTATACATTGGTATTCTATAATAAACCATTAGAGAAATTATTCCTTGTTTTGAAAATATTATTATGATTTTGATGTGTATCTGTTCGTAGTGAATACTTGTTTGGAGTTTCAATCTCTTAATTATTATTAGGAAGAACCTTATTAATGGTAAGGAATAGAATATACTACTGTAGTCTCCTGAGGAATTGTACATCCAATATTGTCTCTAATTCTACCCTGTGTCTAAAAGCACACACCACAAGAATCCAAACACCACGAGAAGAACAAGACAACAGTCTTTGAATGCAACATAAATTCAGAAAAGCACAGCAAACATGAAACATTGAAAAGCTGAACTACATTTCTTTTGTTTGTTAGGATTACAATTTTAATTACATCTGTGTACATAGAATAAGACTGTTCACATAGTACAGGGAGCAGCTACTAACACTGGTCCATTGGTATAGCATTTGATGGAGGTTACTGTTTACTGGTTGTTCAGCGACTGCAGATTTCGGGGGCATCTAATTGATTTCTTCATTAGATTACACCTCTTAACAGTCTGGAACCTGACTGACTTTCTTGCTGTGACAATACTGGTGGAAAAGCCCACAGAGTGGCTTATTCACTCTTGGTAAAAACTGCAGATTAATTTAAACAAACATTCCTAAATGAATAAACTCATATAGGTTTAGGTTTTAGAATTTGGTCAGGCGTCTGCTGTCTTTGATGATTTTTTTTTTTCAAATTCTGGCATTTGCCTTATTGCCTCTTAAATGAATACTGGCTCACAGCTCCTTCTGGGACAAGGTCTGTAACTTTGCAAACAGGCAGTATCTCATTCCTAACCACCGCAGCAGCTAGAAATCATATGGCAACTGCACCTCCCGGGTGGAGAGGTGCACTCCTGAAAATTCTACGGATCTGTATTCCGTGTGCGGTGCTTACGTATGTGACCACGCGAAGTCACTGTAGGTGTAATCTAATCCTTTGTGTCAGTGGACATTTAAGTAAACTGGAGCTCGTGTTAAGAAATTGTTTGGGACCAGACTGGCACACAACATAAATTGCATCCGTGATAATATGCACCTTCCCTTCAACTATTGCTTGAGTAAGTTAAATCCCCATATTAATAAATGGCTGAAAAGTGGTAAAGCTGGTACAAAAAAATCTCCATTTGTAAGAAGAAACGAAACATTTTTAAAAATCTTCCTTCAGGATTCATTTGTCCTTCATTAGTGTTCATAATTGTTCAAAGCCAGCACAAAATTGCAGTATTCTTATTTCTCTTTAGTATTGCATGAATGAATAAAGCTTAAACTATTCCCTGAAAAAGTTACATAGTAGCTAAACTAACAAATACCTGGAAGACTTGAAAAAACAATTAAGGAATCAAATGGCTGTAAATGATCTAGATGGGAAAGCAATGATAAGAAGCAGCCGATGCAACGTGGCTGAAGTCGTCTAATTAGAGGCTGCTCCCGTGGAATCTAATACTGCACTCAGTCAATTTGTTTCCGTTGCGCTGTACTTTCAGGTACGTTGGTTCTCTCTCTTTGATTCTTTAGTCACTGGGGACCTTATGGTTCACAAGAAGTTCACTGGTATCCATATTATGGATCTCCATCCTTTGGCAGGGCTGGCTTCCATCTCTCTCCAATTAGAGACCTCTATTAAAAGTTCAGCAGCAGAAGGAAGGAAGGAAGGAAAGAAAGAAGGGAGGGAGGGAAAGGAAAGAAAGGAAGGGAAATTTTCTTACAACTAGAGCTATTAAAATATAAAAGAAATGGGGAGGATGAGAAAAGAGGGAGGAAGAAGGCAAGAGGGGAAGGAAGGAAGGAAGGAAATGAGAGGGAGAGGGAACCAGCAATGAAGGAAGCAAGAAACGAAGGGTAGGAGGAATAAGGCAGGGAGAAAAAAAAAAACAAGAGAAAAAAGAAAGAAAGAATGAGATAAGGTACAAAGAAACTCATACAGGGA